AAAGAAATAAGCCTATTACTTTCTGTAAATTTGTTGCACTACTCTCATACTTACCAGAAAGTAAGAACAAGTTGTCAGCTTCCTGAAAACGTCTTAGTTCTGTCTAGACATTACGTTTCAAATTTTTTATGATTTTTTTAATAGTTTGAGCAAACATGGTCTGTTTTTGGCATGTTCGCTTTCATTTTTGGACCCTGATTACTACAGATTTATCTAATTTATCGGAAATTTTGCTTGAGTTAATCTTAATACATGTGGATATAGAAAACATCCAAGACGGCCGCAATATATGGCCAATATGACCTCCAAGAGATATTAAAACAACCCCAAACATCGCTGAAAACTAACTCTGGAGCTAACCGGAAGTCAGGGCAATTCAACACGTGAACGGTACAAATTTATGCAAAAATCAAAACCCAGGGATGTGCATCTATATCAAAAAACGAGCTTTGGTAGTGTTGCCCGTATAGAAAACAGTATGTCTGTGAAGTTTCAAGATAATTGGACGTTTCCCCATGGAGCTTTACCAACATTTCTTTTCCATACAAAACTTTGTAATTTTCGATCCGTCAACATTTTTTTTATTGGTGTTTGTTTAATAATTTGGACCATTGTTGCTCCTGGGGTATTTTTTCTTCTCGGTCACTTAGAAAAAATTAGAAAATAATATTATCAATGGTTTTTTATTGCTTTCAGTTATGCGCTTGGGTGGGAGACGCGATTTTCTTTAAAAAAAAAACACACTTCCGGTTTTTATGCTAATTTATGCAAAAAATTAAAAATACAAAAACCCAGGGAATGGTCAAATATTAAAAAGCAAGCTTTGGTAGTGTTGCCCGTATCCAGGACAGTATATCTGCAAAGATTTATAGTGATCGGACGTATCCCCATGGAGCTTTACCAATATTTCTCTTCCATACAAAACCTTGAAATTTTCGATCCGGCAACATTTTTTGGGGGGGTTTTTGTTTAATAATTTTGACCATTGTTGCTCTTGGGGTAATTTTTCTTCAGGGCCACTTAGAAAAAATTAGAAACTAATATTATCAATGGTTTTTTTATTGATTTCAGTTATGCGCTTGGGTGGGAGGCGAGATTTTTGTGCAAAAAAAACACACTTCCGGTTTTTATGCTAATGTTTGTGCTGAATCTGATTCTGATTCTGATTCTGAGGCCAAAGTTCGATCCACCTCGCACGTATAAATACGGGCGGTTTTTGCAGCTCGTCATTCGAAATTCGCTTGTCTAGGGTGAATTTCTGTCATTTTGTTCTCTGGTCTTGTCGAGTTTTCGGCCGTTTTTAAAACCGTTCTTTTAGGAACGAACTTTTCTACTGTTTAAAACCGTTCTTTTAGGAACGAACTTTTCTTCTTTATCTTAAACCGTTCTCTTGGAAACAATTTCAGATCTTCGTTTCAGTAAAGGTAAGTTTCTTTTTAATTTCTTTATTATTTCCTTTTTTTATATCTTTATGTCGTTTCTTTCTTTCTTTCTTTCTTTTTTTCTTACGTTTCTTTATTTCGTTCGCTTGCTTATTATCGCCCCTTGAAAGAACGTTGGTATTAAAATGTTTTCCTTCTTCATCTTTTAGGTTCTTCGTTATTCAAGACTTTTTTATTCGTTATTTCAAAGAGAGGATTTGTGATATATAGTAAGTAACGGTTGTTTATTTTTACTCTTTATTGTGAAGTTCACGTGCTTTTTTCTTCTTGATATTAGTATTCCTTTTTAAACATTTGTTGAGCTGTTAAAAGAATTTTTTACTGACTTTATTGTTTTTCTTTCACCCTAGGTAACTGCGTGTTTTTGGCCCGTTTACCTCAACAATAACCTTACTTGATCCGTAAGTAACCATTTCATTTATTGTGTGCTGAAAGTCCGTAGACAGGCGACTTGCGCACTGACTAGTAAGCACTCTGTTAGGTACTTCAAGTGTGTGCTGAACGTCCGTAGGTTGGCGATTAGCGCACTGACTAGTAAGCACTGTTTTCAGCTGTATTTATTATTTTTAAGGCCGATTAAGAAGGTACGATTTTTGCGTACGATTATCGTGCGCGACTAGCATACGTCAAGACTTTCGACCACAGTTATCAATTACGCGCCAAATTTTTACGTGCGACATCCACAATGTATCATTCGAATGTAATGTGTCTAATCAACAAGACACGATCTTTCGTGAAGTAATGACGCATGCTACTAAGTCGTGCAAGATAGTGGTAAGCAAAAATCGTACCGCCTAATACGGCCTTTAGTTTGTGGGGGGGGGGGTGGCACATTCGTCGTTACGTTTAATGTTTGCTGAAAGTCCGAAGGTTGATCTGTAAGTAACCATTTCATTTATTGTGTGCTGAAAGTCCGTAGATAGGCGACTTGCGCACTGACTAGTAAGCACTCTGTTAGGTACTTCAAGTGTGTGCTGAACGTCCGTAGGTTGGCGAGTAGCGCAATGACTAGTAAGCACTTTATTAGTTACTTTTAGTGTGCGCTGAACGTTCTTAGATATGGGACAAGCCTATTGACTAGTAAGCGCCTTATTAGGGTTTCGTACTCTTATTTTAAGTGAAATGGACGAACAAGGGTTCTGGACAGACCCTAAGCTTTCATCCAAAGAACGCTTAAAAGTTCTATACCAAGAGATGGAACAGCAACAGCAGCACCGAAGGGAAAACGTTTATCGGGACCATCTCATCCCCGAAGGACCTGTGACTTTCCCGATGGGAAATTGTCCCAGTCACGAAAGCCTTAGCTGCGAGTATCAGATGGCAGCATTGGGATGGTCATCGGCCCATGTGACGGGTAACAGCTACTTAAAACAGTCTTTTAAGAACCAGATGTCAAGACTGAGGCATCTGGCCGTGACCAAGTGGGGCAAGGACATTGATACAAATAGGTGGGGTATGGTTGATACCGACGAAGTAAAGGACCTCATAAAATTTTTGGGGTGGGGCACACCACAGTCAGCCCTTCACCAGCAAGTGACAAGTGACACTGCAGCTCCAAGTACGGCGGCCACGGCAACCACAACTAGCGTTTCTACAGCTACCACTGCAGCTCAAAGTAGGCCAGCTACGGCTACCACTGCAGCTCCAAGTGGGCCAGCCACGGCAACCACAACTCCCTTGCATATGGCTACCACTGCAGCTCCTAGTACAGAAGCAACGGCAGGCACAAGTAGAAGACCTAACCCATCACCAAGTGCAAAGAAGCACTACAAGATCCGAAAATGTCCGCTCTGCAAAAAGGACCAAACCAGACTAGACAGACACCTCTTGGTCCACGTACGAAAAGGCGAGATTTCGAAAGATCGCATAACTGCCCTCGTCCAGTACGCTGACAAGGGAGGCACACTCCACAGAGAGGAACAATGGATGAAGAAAAGAACGAAAATTGTGAGAGCGAGGAGGAGGTTTTTTAAGTGTCCAATATCCGAACTGGTGACAGCCTACCTGCCCACTCACTTCGCCAACAAGCACGGCATACCCCGGAGTTCCGAAGAGAGCGAAAGGTACATGCTGTTGGCCAGGGCCTACGAAGGCGACGAGGAACTAAAGTACATAAAATCGACAAAACCATCGAAGGAGACAGCCTCTCCAAGTAGTTTTACGCGTTTGTTCAACCGTAACTTACGAAGCGACACCGAGTCCGATGACGAAAGCTATCACCCTTCTGCTGATGAACAAGAAGAAAGCAGTGGAAGTGACGACAGCGAAGTCATTCCTCCAACTCCGGAACGTCATAGAGAACAGCAACGCCGAATAGCCCAAGCCGTGGCAGAGAACAGAGCAGCAAGTGAGAGTGAAAGTAGCGAAGTAGGTGGTACAATTCAGGTGTTCAAAAAGGTTGCTGGAAGCAAGGGTTGTGAGAGTAAAGGGTCAAAGCAGGGTAAAGCTGAAACGGAAGTCGGAGATGGAGGCGACGCCAACGGTCCCAAAAGGGATGATGGGGATGATGAGGAAGACCATGTTGGAGGTGACAGTGAAGATGATGGAGGTAAAGGTGGTGAAGATGGTGGTTGTGAAGGCGATGAGGATGAGGATGAAGATGAGGATGAGGATGAGGATGAAGATGAGGATGAAGATGAAGATGAAGATGAAGATGAAGATGAAGATGAAGTGAAAAAGTCCTTCAGCAATGTCTTAAAGATGAAGAACCCATCAGCTCCCCGCCATATCTGGCTTATCCGCTTTTATGAATACCTTCAGTCACTAGCAGGAAAAGCTTTGACAAAGGTGCAGGCAGACCAGCACGCAAGTCAGATATACCTGATGTTGCAGTCCATAGATCCTACAGGGACAGAAATAGCCTGCATTACCGACAGCCAAGGAAAAGCAGTTTGGGAATGGGCCAAGCCGTTATTAGATGAGAAGAAAAAAAGGCCAGGGACTATCATTTCTTATTTGACGTCTCTTGAAAAGTTCTACAAATTTATCATACGCTGCCAGGACGAGGAAGAACCCCTTCTGCAAGTCACGCCAGCTTTGTTAAAGTCAGTCAAGACTGCGTACAACGACTTGGCAGCCTGGCGTGCTGTGATCCGAAAGCATTACAAAGGTGATGAATGGAGAAGACAGCTGGCAGAGATGAAGTCTCGCCTTCGGCCGGAAGATGTCAGAGACATCAATGAAACAAAGCCAGCCAAAAAAGCAGATGCCCTCCTAAAGAAGGCCCCTTACACAAAGCTTACCATCCACCAATTTTGTCTAGTTAGAGACTTTCTGATAGCTAGCCTCGAATTTCAGAATGGACAGCGTCCTGGTCCATTCGAAACCATCTTGTTGGAGGACTTCCAGGATGCCGAAATTGATCAGGATTCTGGAACAAGAACAATTTACGCCCCCCAACACAAAACATCGACTGCCGGGCCAGCCCCAATCTCCATGTCCAAATCACTCAGCAAAAAGATGGAAACTTATATCAAACACGTCCGCACCATTTTCCCTGGCTCTTCTCCGTTTTTGTTCATCACCAATAAGGGAAACCCATTCCCCAAGGGCAAGATCGGTCGAAGAATAACCAGCTTCTGGGAGCAAACTGGCAAAAGACCAGACATCAAGATCACCAGCACGAGGATGCGAAAAATGGCCGCAACAACAACGTTAGCATCAACCGATTCAGAGAAGAGGCTAGTTCACCAGCACATGACCCACTCCGAGAGGACAGCTGATCGCAGCTACATCAGGCCTGACCAGGCAAAAGTTGCAGCAGCTGGCCATGCTCTATTGAAGTCCAACATCGGGTATAGGGAGTCTGATGACGAGGAAGGAGACGAAGTAATGGCTGTTGATAAGGGATGTGAAGTGGGAGGATACGAAGAAATGGATGTTGATGAGGGAGACGTAGAAGAAGTGGAAGAAGAAGAGGAAGTGGTCGAAGCTGACAAGGAAGAAATTGATGAGGTAGAAGATACGTTGTTGCTGGACTTATTCAACAGCGAAATTTCTAGCAATGTCACCCTTACCCAAGATCTGGTCACCAGCAAAATATCTAAAAACACCGCACTGGGACACCTGGACCTCACAAACAAGACCCTTGTCAAAAAGATCATGAATAAACTCCGATATCAGCAGACCATTGCAGCCAGAAGAAGCCTCGAACGAAAGACCACTGAGAAGGTTGTGCGTAAAGATCGATTGAATACGTGGATAGAGGAGAGCTTCTCCGCGGTTTCCGAGGGTGCTAGGAGCAGATTGGCGTGGTCCGAGGAGCACACTGAGGCGATCGAGTCCTACTTTTCAAAGTTTCCAGTTCGGCCCGACAAATCCCAAATAATCGCCCACCTTGAAGCAGCGCCTTCTCTCCGGGACGTCTTGGCAAAAGAGGGGGCCACGCGCTGCTATCAAAAAGTGAAAAACATCATCAAAAGACGCAGCAAATGAGGGACAGTGTATACTATTGTAGATATCTGTTGAAACGGAGCAAAAAATAACAATTTCATTCTCATCCAGTCGTCCTACAGCCCGGAACAGAACCATTCTTGACCGCTTGGCCCTTGCTACCGTGGTAAGGGACTTGCTGGCGGTCAAACCGTTGTTTTTTTAAGTTCTTTATGTAAAATATTACATATTTTAACTTGTATATATACTATTGTAAATACGTTTTGTTCTTAAAAAAAAATTTCAAGTTGGCCTCTTGAAAACTCTCGTCTTGGAGCAACACGAGCTGAGGTAACCAACCCTTGGGGAGTGCCAGCGAGAGCAATCGAGTGTGCCTTACTTGATCACCAAAAAAAGCTCCGTTCAGTTTCATTCTCACCCAGTCGTCCTACAGCCCGGAACAGAACCGTCTTCGACCACTTGGCCCTTGCTACCGGGGTAAGGGACTTGCTGGCGGTCGAACCATTGTTTTTTAAGTCAACAGAGTTGATGTCATGTAAAATAATAGTGTACATAAAATTGTAAATACAACAGTCTAAGTTATAACAGCATTATTTATTGTATATATTCCTGTATATATACTATATAAACTAAAAAAGTTGGCCTCTTGAAAACTCTCGTCTTGGAGCAACACGAGCTGAGGTAACCAACCCTTGGGGAGTGCCAGCGAGAGCAATAGAGAGCGCCTTAGTTTAGTCAATCAATCCTGGCCACAATGAGTCAAGTTGGTTTACTTGATGACACCCTCTGAATGGCTTTTGGTAGCGCATTAGCACTATCAAGTCTCAGACTAATACTCTCACTGTCTAATATTGACACGAGAGGGGGACCAGGAAACCAAACAACGATTCTCTCCTTTTAGGTAGAAATCATGACAACAAGACGGAGGTTCACATGGGAAGAGGACGAAAAAATTATGGACTACTTAAGCGGCAAGGTCAGGTTGGCAACAGGAAATGCCATATGGAAAGAAGCAGAAGCTTTAGAGGTAGGTTTATTACTTGACACAAAAATTCTTTAAAAAATGTATTGTTCTTGACCAATTCAAATATCTTATTGCTAGATTGTACCAGGCCGCAGTTGGCAGGCACTAAGGGCTCGATATCTCAAAGTCCTAAGACCACGGTGGCTAATGCAAAAAGGGAGATTACCCAAAAAAACAACGAGGGAGCCGTCGCCGGAGTCGACAACGTCCGAAGATGACGAGTACGAACCTGAACAAGACGACGATGATGACGATGATGACGGTGATGATGACCACGATGATGACGATGATGGTGAGGATGACGATGATCAAAGTGAGGAGGAGGAAGAGCAACATTCCGAAGAGGATAAAGAGGAGGAACATGATGAACGTCAGGAGGAACACGTGACAGAGGAAGAGGAGATAACTTTTAGACTTTACCTGTCCGAAAGCAGCGGAGACAGTGACATATAATTGCAGGGTTGCTTTTTTATGTAAATATACGTTTATATACAAAAAAGGGTAAAAAACATAAAACATTCATTAAAGACGTTTTAGCATTATCTATTTTTCTTTTTCTTGTTTATTTCAATGCTGGAATTAAGTTGAAGGCTGTTGTATACATCATAATTAAGTTGTCATTAAAAGACAGAAAAAAATAAACTCAAGTTGGTTTATTGAACACTCTCGTTCTCCATATATGAAAAATAGGGAACTTAAGCAAAAGCTTTTTTCGTTTTTGAACGACACACGTCAGGCGGAAGTGGTCTTTTTACATTCCTTAGCAGTGGTTTTGCCAAAACGTTTCAGTTAAATCGTCTACGCAAGTGTAAAGAAACTGAGCAATACAAATTTTATTCCGTCAAGGCATATTAAGTCCTCACTTCCGGTTGACGTGCGTCTCTCAAAAACCCCTTTGTTTAAGTTCCTCAATATGACTGTGTAAACACTCAAAAACATCACCAAACATATTTTTCAGGTCCAATTTGACCATAGAAAAACAAAACAGAAATTTGAAATTTTGACCTAAGATTATAGGCCAATACCTTTAGAAAAAATAGAGGATGGCGGCTGCTTCAATTTGACATCTCCATATTTGGTTAGAATCACTTTTATTCTACTCTTAAACATCACTAAACATCATTTTGAGGTATAGTTTGACCACATACAAAGTTGAAAAAAATTTGAAACTGAGACTCAAAATCATAGGCTAACCCGTTTCCAAAAAATCCAAGATGGCGGCTGCTCGAATTTGACATCTTCATATATTGTCAGAATGATTTTGATTTCACTCTAAAACATTAACAAACATCATTTTCAGCTCACATTTGACCATATACAAAGTTTAAAGAAATTTGAAATTTTGACCCAAAATCGTAGGCTTACCCCTTTGGAAGGAATCCAAGATGGCGGCTTATCAAATTTGACATGTTCATATTTTGTCAGAATCACTTTGATTTTACGTTAAAACATCAACAAACATCATTTCCAGGTTCAATTACACCATTTACAAAGTTTAAAGAAATTTGAAATTTTCACCCAAAATCGTAGGCTAACCCCTTTGGAAAAAATCCAATATGGCCGCCAAGAAAACACAACTTAACAAATAAAAACATATAGAATTTAAAAGCGCATAATAAGAGCTTTCTGATGATACCTTATACGTTGTTTAACCCCAAACCTTTCATTCTTTATAATTTCTTCAAATAATGCAAAAATGACCGAAAAATTGAAAGTTGAATTTCAACCTGCCCAAAAAAATATTAAAAGTTTCGATAAAAATCCAAATTTCACATTTTTAAAATTAACAGACATTATTTAACATTTTGTGAAAGTTTCAGTCAATTCACCCATAATTGGGATGATCTAACACCAATAAAGTAAGCAAAGGTAGAAAAAGTCGGGAAATCACCAAAGGTCAGGACATCACCAAGAAAAAATCGGGAGATCACCAAAACGTCGGGAGGTCACCAGCTGACGGGAACTCACCAGCAAAAGTCGGTAGATCACCAGCGATGATGGGAACTCACCAGCAAAAGTCGGTAGATCACCAGAGAAGTCGGTAGATCACCAACACCGTGTCGGTAGGTCACCAACACCCTGACGGGAGAGCACCAAACGGACGGGAGATCACCAATTCTGGTGATCTCCCGACACAAAAAAGTCGGGAGATCACCGATGGATCTAACCCCAACCCTAACCCTAACCCTAACCCTAACCCTAACCTACAGTGCTTTCCGCCATTTTTTAAAACATTTCCTGCTTTTGCCTGGGAGCCTCGTTCCGGATGTGATGTGCCTACTTGTCGAAAAATATCGGGAAAATTATCGGGAGAATTCGGCCTCTGTTCCAAGCCTCCTCCACTCACTCCGATAGTGCATGGATCTCACCAATATGGCGGAAGCTTCAAACATCACATGTGATCCTGAAGATGGTGCAGATACTCTGCTGTCGTGGCTGAAGAGAGCTTCTTTAGAGAAATACCCAACTATGTTTGCAGAAAATGGCATTACTGAAATCGCCCACCTCGAAGATGTAAAGGAAGAAGATGCCATTTCTTTGGGACTAACCAAATTCGACGCACGTTGACTTACACGTGTGTACACTGACTGGAAAACAACACAAGAAGAAAAGTCTCGCTGTGGCCCAGAGACTGCTAAGGTGGGAGCGAAAGCGACCTATAAGACCTCAACGTCTTCAGTAGTACTTTCATTGCCACCAGTCATGAAAAACTTTGTTGAGACAAGGGATGGAATGGGGAATGTTGTTGTTAGTACCGCATCATTGAAAAGTAAATTCAGCAACCTCTGGTATGAGTCACTAGTCTGTCCAAGACAAACAATTTCAAATTCCTTTATTCTTCAAATGGCTTCAGAACGCTTTAAGTATTCAAAAAGTTTACGCGATTGTGAGCTTTGGTGCGGGAAGGAAAGGTCGAAGCGTATACCGCTGTTATTTGGAATTGTCAAAGGCGCAACACTCTACAACTGGTCCCCGCACATGAAGAAACAGTGTCCTTAGCCAAATCGAGATTATGAAAAAACGACACCCAGAAATTGTCTCGTTTAAAGAGAACGAAAGGCTACCAGGGAAGAAGCAC